GGTATATCTATTGACTGATAGTCTTTATCAGTACTGGCTGATTGCAGGAAGAGCGGCAAAGCAGAGTAGGGAAAAGACATACCCACTCTAATCGTGGGAAAACCTCCATGGCAACGAAGCAATAGTAGAGCTGAAATTAATCACATCTTATTAGTCTGCAATATTCTTTTAACAGTAGATAGTATAGGTAAATGGTCGAAATGGATCATGGATTTTGCTGTTATGGAATAATTTGAAATTTTGTCACGTATCTGAAGAAGATTAGACTCGAATACAACGACATCGTTCATGGGAACGGTGCTACACCATCAACACATGTACCTAGTCTGCTGGAATTGATTTTCACAGCTTACCAAAAATAGTATCATTATCACATAGATTAATGCCAGGATTACAGAGGAGGTGATTGAAATAGCATCAAAACCGAATGTCGTACCCATCCAGTCATAGAGAAAGGAGAAATTGATAGCAAGTATCACCAACGATGCCAGCAAAGAAAAAATCTTCTGTAGCCTAGAAGAAATATTTATTTTTTTGATTACAACAATTGTAAAGCAGAAGAGATGAAAATCAAGTGCAAAATGATTATCGGAATTTATCATGACTGATGATTGTTAACTACTTATTGAATTACATTTCTTTGTGCGTCAAATAAAGGTGTTAACAAGTAACCTACAGTCAAGAAAAGGGCTTCCTGGTATTCCCTTGATTCAAAAATATTAATCAGTAAATTAATCAGGAAATTACCTCGACGTTCGGAAATTGAACATCACTCGTTTATCAGAGACGAATGTCAGCACTGGCAATAAGGCAAACGGCAACTGTATCATCTGGAAAATCATTGCCGATAATTATTGGAATTCTTCAATTCATAATTGATCTACAGCTATGGAGCCTTTTAACCAACACCTAAGTGGGCCCCGCTCTAATAATGAAGGAAATATATTATAGTCAGATTATGATTGTTATTATTGCAAGATTTATCACTTCTGCTTCGCCTCAGGTACAATGGAGTTTCCGTCCTCTCATTGTTGAGAGACTGTTAGCAGAGTTATTTGGGAAGGTTTCCCTCTTCAATCCACGTGGGAATGCTCCAGATTGCTGTTTCAGAACTTCACGTAGAATCGGCTCGACCAGCATGTAATTAGCATTCATAAGGTGGCAGTGCTCAAGCAGCACATGCTAGAAGCTCCGAGGCTCGTGAGGATAATGGAAGCGTGGAAACGAAGCGAATGCAGAAAGTGCCGAAGTCCACGCATCAAATGTGAAGACGGGTGCGTGAAACTAAGAATAAAATATTATTGACTACCTGGGCCAGGTCGTTGACGGCTGGCGACTGACAGATAGATGCGGTGTAGCGTAGAAAGAGTGGTGTACAAAATGGGCGTCAGTAGTGTAACGCGTGAAGCACGCGCTTCCAGGTAGAGTGAGATGTGGTTTCTAGTCTTTGCTGACGCGAATGTTTTGCACATCACTCTACATCACTGGGCATATCTATGAAATCTTACCACCGCTATAGCTGTTGAATAAAAGTAATTTCACTTAAATAAAGAATTGTTGTGGTAGACAATTATGGCATGTGCTCACTTGTATACAATTGAGAAAATCATTCAGGCCAGTAATATGTTCAATTCCACGGCTGAATACTGTCACAATTAACGTCGGTGCCACTGCCAATGTTCTGCAATGTGATAAAATAAGTTGTACACATTTTTCAGCTGCGTCTTATCGCTTCCGAGAATTTCGCATGAAGCTAGACGAAAAAAAAAAACTACTGTAGAAGAAGAGAAAGATAAAAATGAGGTGTCCAGTATTGCTAAATTTCTAAGTAGTGCCCCATACATTTGAACCATACGTAGAATTTCATAGGTAATCAAATCAGTAGCTGGCCAGTGCAGTGACTTGAGAGTGCCTACCTAGAATCAACGTTAGCGCTTGTGTCCTTATAGACCCACCCACAATATCAGTTCTTCACCCTGTGCAGATGAGAGCTTGGTTTGCTCAGTGATTGAGTTTTAACTAGTAGCACATGTGTACTGCCGGACACCTCCACGCATTGCTCTACACCCATTGTTGGACACGTAGTACAGTAATTGTAATATCGTAGATATTTGTAAAATTTGTTAATGGACTGACTATAACATAGCTGAGAGAGAATCAATTCGTTCTGAAATATCGCTAATGAATGAGTAACTTTGGAGACCTCATGGAACTATAAACAGTTTTGCGATTGTACAAAATTATGAATTTCGTATGTGGATTCCATAATATCAAATAGAACTATTAGTTGAAACAAAATCTAACAGAAAGGCAATTACTGATTATAACAAAGTACGAAATTATGCACGTAATCTACGAAATAAAAATGATCAGATATATAACTGCATGATTCACCGACCTTGTCACAAGAACTCGTTTCCATCGTGGCAATTTGATTTGGACAAAGCCCTAAATGAACAACATTTTCGACCGGAACACTTTGACCAGTTTGCAAAAACACAAAACCAAACTCGCTACACCACGCGTAGACATCGACGCATACACACGCACGCACGGCTATACAGGACACAAGTATATGTATACGCACTTAGATGCATACACATATAATATATATATATATATATATATATAATGTATGTATGTACACATAACACATACATGCTCGCATATATACACTGAGTCCAAAATGGCGCACCTCCATAGCAAACTGTCCGGCATAGGTGCCCGTCATCGTAGACGATTGACCAGCAGCCAAAATTCCAACTGCCCACACATAAAGGGCACCAACACCAAATGTACAACCTACAATGTCAATTTCAAGTTTTTTTCTTCTTTATTTTCAAGCGGTTTGAATATGGTTCTTCTCAGCTATAAGGGAACAAAGTAAAAACCTATCTCATTCTTTGGTGAGGATCGTTTCATAGGAGTGTTATTAAGCATTCGAAAGCTAAGACTTGAGGCTACAGCATATATCGTCGATTTTGAAAAAGACTTCTTCGACGTTGCTCTAGGCGGAGATTTATTGACTTCAGACACGGATATTTCTCGCCGGACGTAGCTCTTTTTGGGCAATTGGTAATCGTTCGATCGCGTAATCGAACTGGATTCCAATGCTGTGCTTATAAGATAAGATATAAGCGCAGCATTGGGATCAGAAACGATTACGCTATCGAATGATTGCTAATAGTGCGAAGAAAGAGTTCTATCCGGCGAGAAATATGCGTGTCTGAAGCCAATAAATCTCCTCCTGAAGCAACATTTAAAAAAATTATCTTTTGAAAACAGGCGACGTGGGGCTGTAGCCTCAAATCTCAGCTTTCCACTAGTTACTAACGAACCTTCGAAAAGTTCCTCTCCAATGAATAAAATCGGTTTTTCACTTGCTACTTCATATCTGAATTGTACGTTGAATATATGAAGCAAAGTGTTTTCGCATGTTGTCTTAGAACGTCGTTGATATGATGGATGGAGATTCGTAAATTCAAACGAATTTCTCGCAATATTGCTATCAGCTTTGATTATACCGCTTTTTTCGCTTTTCAACAAATTAACATAAGCCCAGTGGGTCCTCCTCGCTCTAGGGATTCGCTGAGCATCATATCTTTCTTCCATCGCTTTCGTGAAGAAATCGGACCAACGGGTCAGTGGTCTTCCTTTAGAGCGCTTGACGTCCCGAGGAATCCAGTCGGTAACGGCTCTCGCCCATCGGTTGTCGTTGAAGCGCATCACGTGTGCGGCCCACCTTATTTTCGATATCCTTGCGTGTAGAACGGCGTCTCTGATTTTCGATCGTTGACGTAGGTCGGAAGTTCGGATCCTTTGTCTCATTTGCGAAATAGGGGATACTCCTAGCATCGACCTTTCGACTGCACGTTCGATAACTCCAAGTGATTGCAGTCATTCTATAAGATCAAAAATGCCGATTTCGATCCTAAGCTTGGTCTGTATAACGACCTTGATAGTATGTTCTACTAACTAAAAAAAAAATAATATGATATGCTTATAGAGTGCGCTATGTCAACCTCACATTTAATTTTTCGAAATTATGTGATGAAATTTCAATTCTAAAAAGTTTGTCGCTATGGAGACATAAAATGTTATCTAACGAACTTATATTAACGTATTTTCAGTGAAAACGCTATTTTACTAAAAAAATTTCCGCTTTTCTTACGATTTTTAAGAAACGCAGTTGCAGTGAGTGAGATGTACTCGTGTTTCCTTGATTCTTCCAGAAAAGAACTGCTTGCTAGACCTTTAGTAATCATTTGATAGCTTGAGAAATGCTGCTTTTGATACTGAGTTTGATTTCCGAACTGATGAAGAAGAAAAATAAGTAGAGCATGTAAAATCAAGCGCATAGCCATTGCTGAAGTTGCAGCGATGAGTAATGTTTATATCGGAGTTTAAGTGGGTAATATAAAAAGTTATCATTTGTAATACATTAGAATAGAGCGAGAGCGCATGTGGCGCAGTGGTTAGAGGTGCTCTGTGTCGCACACGAGGTCAATGGTTCGATCTCGCGCTCATGGCTCACCAAGCCATCCATCCCTCCGAGGTCGGTAAATTGGTACCAGGCAGGTCTCAGACTTGTCTGGGAGGATAAGCAGCACTGACTCGGTTCAGCGGGAGGCCACCGCGAGTCATTGTAAAGGCCAGATATGCATTCAATCACCTCAAACGAAGTTAAAAATTAAAGTCGAATGCATGGCGCATACCTCAGGGATTGATCAACGCCGAGAGCTTTATCCTTTTATCCTCTAGAATAGAGCCTCTTGATTCTATAGAAGCCTCAATTCCTGAATTCTACTAATAATAATAAAGTTGCTACGAATCATCGAAGAAATGACATAGTGTTGCAATGGGCAGTATCATTTACTGACAACTACTCTCGCCCTCCCTAGTGTTCACTGATTACAAAAATCTAATTTCATTTAACCGCTTTCTAGCAGTGGAATGATGTTACAGATATACTCAATGATGTTGAGTGATCTGCAATGCTTTGACGTCAGCGGGACTTGAACCAGCATTTCACCCTTTCAGGGACCGTGTGCTTAACCTATTGCACCACTAACTCCTGTTTTGCCAAGACTCCTTCTACGGTGGTTTTTTGCACATTACTCAATATTATTGGGTAAATGTGAATTTCGTTCAAAACTACCATATTGTCTTTGCAACGCGCAGCGCTTGTCGCGCTATCTCGCCGCCCTACTGCGTGAATATCAATGTGGGACTCAAGGGTCAAGCGTGTGTTATGTTTGCGTTATAAACCGACGTAAGCCCTTTCGGTACCGTGGACTCACGATTTCTGCATCTATAACTGGCAACTCTGGACGGTCTGCGTCACCTCCATCGCATTTCTATCCGCAAGCGTGCCATTGTTAAACGCAACACACTGCTACGGTTGGATTAAGTACGCTGAGAGTTATAGATGCAAAGGAGGTGGGGCAGAACGCACAGAGTTGTCAGTTAGACATGCAGAGGCTATGGGTCCAAAATCCCGAAAGGGTTAGGATACACAGACATCAACAGAGAAGGGCAAGTATACCGACGAAAGACTATTTCACTAACCTAGAAATATCCCAGCGTGGAAGATATCGCTCTCGGCTGGCTCGGTATTGTTTTGAAAAATCACTTTGTAAAAATCCGGCATGTGATTATCGGTCGTGTAGCAGTTGTGCCGCTGTAATAGTTCAGACAACTATTATCGTACTACTGGCGCCATATCTTCAAAATTTTTGGACACCTGGTACTAGTGTTCATAGATGCTTCAGTCTATTGTTAGCTCGGTACTTCACTAACTAAAACGTCTAGTAACGAATCCACGTCATGCCTACCACGTCTGCGTTCGTCTTGTTATACAGTCCTTCAGCAAACACGGCAACAACCAGAACGTTAATCCAAAACGAGCAGAACAACGCGAAGAATGACTCGATGAAGAAGTACTTGTTTGCCTCGCTCACTTTTGACATCCTAGTTCGATCGATGGAACGACTCTAGAAAGAATTGGTAATCTATTTTTCTTGTTGCCATCGACACATTTCAAAGTCCTGCGGAAATTGCAAGCCTAATCTCCTATTCGAGGTCTATTTAACATATTTGCCAGAATACACTTCACTTCAACCTTTAAACACCTCTCGTTTGAGCTATATTGGTGCGAGTTGTAAAATAATATGAGCCGTTATCTTGAACTTGAGTTAGGTGAAGGCACCACGCAGGCGTCGCAAAATTTTATTGGGTCTCTTATTTTGTTGCTCTTAGCAAACGTGGAATCCGTGTAGGTTAATAGTAGCAATATTCAACTAGAGATGAACATTTGTGTAGAAAAAAAGATGACGAGGCTACATGAGAATTATTGCAGCGCTGACCCATTGCCTTTCCATCATTGACGAGCACATGCACATGCTCTTTTACTTAGAGTGGTGCTCCAATGGATTTGAGATCAGTTAATAAAGGTGAACAAGGCTGGTTGGGTATCAGTCTTTTAGTCGCTTCAGTGTGGCACATACACGGCAGGAAGCTGCATAACTCGTTGCGACCGTTACGGCTTTCGGCGCTTGACCCAGTCGACTAGATTAATTTTTCTCACACTGATTTTTTGACATTAAACAATAACTTTCGATATTTGAGAGAAGTGAGTGGCCTTGAGCAAGAGAGTAGTCTAGAAGCTTTGTCGATCTATTGAATGGATGATATGTAAGCTGCTAATTTGCTTGCCTCACTATGACTTAAAATGCACACATTGGTGTTAGCACTTGAAAGACCTCAAAAGCACGTGTTGAGTCCAATTCGGTATTTGTCAAAATGATAATTAATTGTTGGTTAAATTGGTGGTCAATGAGTTTATCAAGAGATGTTTTCTTTTCCGTAGATTATCAAGCCTACATACTATCCCTTTCTGGGCCCACTCCTACTGTGTTCATCTGCCTTCAACTAACTATGCATAGAAACTCTGAAACTTATACAACTTCAATTGGTAGCATACCACCAGTGTTAACATAATGATGAGGACACCACAGGTTCTATCGCACCCATACCGGTCGGAATGGACTGAAAATTTGGCAATGTCTACGAGAGTTGATGTAATAAGGATACATGCTGCGATTTTTAAGTGCCGCGATGATTCGTCGGCTTATGTGGGAAAGATCCAACACTCCGCAAAGCCTTTGTGTTTTCCTGGTAAGTCTACTGCAAATTACTAAGGTCGCAACCTTTGAAAATGACGAGCGTTACCACAGAATTTCTGTACAAAGAATTTGCGATGATTGGCCATCGCGGTGTGAGAGGCAGCCGAGACCAGCTGGAGTTAGCCTTCTCAACGGCACTACGAGACCGTAAATGACATGAACGATTTATCAATACGCCTGATAATCATTTTTTGAGTCATGCATGGGGCTCTCTATAGGGCGACTCATAGAGCCCGATACACGTGTTCAGCCTTGGCAGCCTCGTCAGTCACACAGTGCCCTTTGTCTTTAGCTAATCCTCTCGAGGAACCCAAACCCCACAGAAAGTTGGCGGCGACGAACATTTCACGCGTGCCATTAAGTGAAAATATCACTGAAAGACAGTGTTTCACTCTCGATTGCTCCTGGCTGGCATCGTTGAATATCTCACGTTTCAAGTGCTTTCTTAAGACCACAAAAAATTTCTAATCTGCCTGATAATCGCTTTTTGAGCCATGCATGTGGTCTTTTATAGCAGACTGATAAGGCTGTCAAGGCCGAAATACGTGTATCGAGCTTTCTAAATTGCCCTATAGAAGACCACATGCATTAATTAAAAAATAATTACCAGGCATATTGAAATTTGATCTTGGTCTTAAGAAAACACTGGAAGCGAAAAATTCATCAACAGTATAGAACACCTTTCTAAGGAGTAATTAAGAAGTTTGCTAATACAGGTTTTTGCTATATCTGATTTTTCACTTTATAGCGAGAACAACGCCAAAAGTCGCCGATTTCATATGAAAACAGCCTGAGCCTGCAGCAAGTTTCAACATTAGGAAAAGATTTTCTAGTTACTGCCTGCACAAAAGTTTTTTTCTGATTGGTCATTGTGATCATGTCGTAAACCTGTAAGAATTTTTTTTATTGGATTTAATGAAATACCTTCACGAGCGCTGAATGCAAGTAAAGATTGTGTGGCATGATCACCGCTCCGATGATTGACACACCTTGCAAAAACTGAGCAGGACCACAATCTGTACACCACGGTACCACCATACCGGTGAATAATGGGCCCTGAAATGATTAACATAGTATTTAGAATCAAAGAAGCGAAAATAGGAAAGCTAATGCGCTAAATGTTGTGGATGTCCGCAGGATCTAGCCCAATTTTTTGTCAATTATTCTCCTCGAGACTTTGAGTCGCCGTATCATGGTTTTCCCATATGCCGACCACAACAGTCGACTTCAGACCATATAGATGGGGTAGAAATTTCTATGCTTCCTAATAATCACATCTTTTGATTGGCTCTTGAATAAGAACCTTTCCCTTCATTTGAATTGCTAGCTGCACATGATTCTCAACACAAAGGAATTTCAAATCGTCTGGGAGAATTTTTAAGCCTCTTCGAAATTGAGATATGTCAGTGGCTTACCTATGTTCCGGCGAACTAGTCACCCATACTTATACGACGGAAGAGGAACATGTCATGTCCAGACAACGTGAGTTTGTGGTCTTGACAATTTTTCAGGGGGTGGCTTACGGCTATTATCAAGCGTATAGACGTTGCCTTTCAGTCGACTGTTTTTAAACCTCGATATAAGCATTCAATGTAGTCTGCGAGAATGTTGTTCTTTTGAAGGTTGATACGCTAGTGGCTTACCTGCGCTTGGACGGCCTCGTCCGGGGCCATACGCCTCATTAGTCACCTCTACTGACAGTAGGGACAAGGAAACATGTTAGTGTTATCTATCAATGGAGGCAACTAGTGGCATGTGTGGCACTGATGAGGAGGCGACATCGCGTAGATGTGCGTAAGCCACGGCACACCAATCTCAGAAAGGTTCCACGCATTCTCTCAGACTATAATGATTCGTTATAGCGAGGTCTAATAGTCGATTGAAAGGCAATGTCACCACGGTGAGATGGCATGCTATGCAGTAAAAGTCTTTAAAAACTCGGCGAAGAAAAGACCGATCTTGATGCTTCGTGGCTTCGGTAGTTCGGCAAATCTTCAATACAAGGTTAAGGCAGCGACTGTATATCCATTATGTCACTGTGTTTTTTCCATTACTTTATTCTTAACAATTCTTCAAACATGAATGGTACCGTTGTTTCACCTAGTTGACATTTTATTGAACCCCACAAACCTGTGTTTCAATATACTGTTAAGGATGTTTGGCTTATACGGGATTGATAGAACATAATATACGACTCATATCTCGTACGTCTTCGTGTCCTTCAACGTTGAATAGATGGGAAGTAAATGTCCACAGTTATCCGTCATCGTAATGTTATCTTCGTAGTCGTTTGAAGTTCAACCTTCTGGAGTGGTAGTGGAGCATCGATTCAATGAAAGCTCCGCTCACTAAGGTGCCTCCATGCAGACTGGTTGCTTTGATTGATCACCAACAATGATAAGTATTGCAGTAGCAAACAGATATTTTTGACACACTTGCAAAAGTAGTAATCTCTCTTGGCTGATCAGAAATCAAGTCAGTGTCGTTGGCGCGAAATCGAGATGCGTACCGAAATCAGTATCTATTTACTAAACAGTATCGCTAAAGAGAGGGAGGGGAGGAAGGCTTAGCCGAGTGGTTGGTGATGCTCAGTGTGGAGTCGATCCACCAAAACCCGCACAAATGAGGCGTGAAAGCCGTGAACATAACGGACATTATAGTACCTATAGGTTTGCGAATGTGTTGAGAATCCATCATCATTTAACCTCGACATAAATAATCATTGTACTTCCGGATTTTCCAGGTTACACGAGATTGGCTTAGGTATTTATTTGTATCATTTTAGTAATCATTCATACCATTATTCCTTATATAGTGATTATCATTCCAATCTATATTTCAGCTTTTGCATTTATAACCTGATTAACAGAATCCCGAAGGCATCTTAAATG